GTCCTCGCTGGACAACTCGCTGCTAGAAACCTTAAGGGCTCTGACATTTTTGTTGTAGATGGAAAAGAAGGGGATGAAGAAGAGGGGTGGTTTCAGAGGGCACCGGGAAGAATATGTGGAGCAGCAGGTGCGGCTCCTTGGCTACACCTGGTGGAACTAAAGGTGATGTGACGGTGTTGGAAGTTGAGGCATTGAACACTCACGCTGAATTACCACCGGTAGACCACACGGTCATGTAGGGCCAGCGGCCATAACACGTATCCCAGTTGGCTTGGCTTTTCACACGATGGTGGAATTCAAACCCACTAACAACGCGACATCGATGGTTCAGCTGTCGGTGCTAGAAGTTTCATTTGCCGGTTTCATTCCTTTCCTGGCCTCACTATTGATCCAACCGACGGTGGAAGCATCACACCGTCACTTCTGTCTTCTATGGCAGGGAAACTGGCAACAGTGATCGCTCAATCTTTAGTATTGATGGCCCAATAGGGGGTGAATTCAGCTCTAAAAATTAATGTGACAATCTTAGCCTATGCAAATTCTAAACCCATTTTTGAAACCATGGTTCCTAAGTTCTTGTACAAAAGCAATATATTGAGTTGTTATAAACGACACACTAATCATGTCTTTTTAGCAAGGATCACACTAAGAATAAGGTCCTGGATAAGCAAGAGTGAAACCTGGTGAGCCTATCGTGGTGGCCTGCTTTGCCCATTGTCAAGGCTCATCTTGTGTTGCCTTCTCCGCTAGATCCGCCTCAACCTTGCCACTCATTGGACTCGAGGAGGCCAATGTTCATGGCTGTCGCTTGATCAATCACACTATCCCTAGCTTGGATCGAGCTAGAGGAGACAAAGGAGTTTAGGACTAGGGCATCGATTGTTCAAGCATCAACGACATGCCTGATGGAGCTCGTTTACGCAACCTCCTCGTTGTAGACCTCATCCGCATGTCATGGAGAGTCATAGATCTGCTTGCCCACACCGCCATGGAGGGTTGTCTACCATTAATCTAGTCGCCCATGCCACTGTACACTGAGGAGATGAGGAGGCTGCCACTTTATCTTAGTCTCCATGCGGCCAACAAAATGTGGGTTCAGATCTTGACAAGTAAGGATCGGTATGGCCGGGCAAAAATTCACCAAATCTGATTAACCAAACCATTTTCACTAAAATTGTTTGTTGATCTAGCAATTGGTCAATGAGTCGTTAATTTTTTCTTGCTATTCGGTGGCTGGGTCAACCCCTAACAAATATGAGGGAAAAGAGTACATGATCAAAAGGAAGAAATTTAAAAGCAAAGTCTTATATATTATTGCTCCTTCACCGGCTCTTGGCAAACAGATGCATAGCTATGACGCCCAATGCAATGGATAGTCTCCCCTGTGTTCTGGTGCAGCAACATGACTCAAAACTACAATCGACACCTCCATATGAAGGTAGCCTCCATAAATAAAGAGTAAAATGTTTTATCCTCATAAACAAGATAATTATGGGTACACCATATAGGGAAAATATTATCGTGATAAAATTATGATAAAAACAATAATCCTGTTTACCACTGAGATCTAATAAAATATATTATCACCAAAATTTCAATTTTACTAGTCCACCTACGTGAAAGTGTCATTTATATCAATATTATTATGTGTTGGTTTGATGTCGAATGTTTAAGTAATAACTTATGCAATTTTCTAGAGAAGTTGAGGTATTTCTTGTTTTTTACTAACAATTTTTTGAAACCATATTGCCCACATATAAAATCTATAACTAGTGTCACCGTCTCACCGATAATGTGGCACATACCACTTTGTTGTCCTAGGAACTCCATTCCCGTCCTGAGAACATGGGAACAATCTCGTACGATCCCCTTAGTGAAAAAACCTTTGCGTATCACGTTCCTTGCACTCCTACAGAAATGAATTTTATGGGCATCTCCTATTTTTTTTAAGGGAGACAATGGGAAAGCTAGGGAAAAGGTTGGACCTTGATATCCACAAAATGGTTGGACTTTTATGCTAGGGTGTCTACACGGATGGAGAGCTTGCCATCGGCCAACCTTGTGTTGCGAGGTTGTGATGGTTGGTCACGGTGGGTATATGCCCTAGGTGCCATGGCGAGGCACCCTTGCTCTGGACAATCTTGGTATGGCGCCATGGTCATTGTGCATCGTGGGCCATTGGTAGCTTGTAACTACACACAGTGATGTGGAGGTGAAAATATGCTGTCATGTGATGCCTTTCTCATGTTATTAGGACATGATTTCGTAGATATAGGGCTTGTTTTGTATGGGTGTGAATCTAATATATAGGCACCAACTTGATAAAAAAACTGTGTATTCTAAAGAAGCCACAAAAATTATCATTTATGTGAACTACAGTATTAAGGAAAAAGGTTTAAAACTCGAAGTTCATTTCATAAGAGAGCATCTTCAACACTCTTTCTTAAACCCACTTCCTAAATTAATCTTCATTCGAAGAGCCATTCTAATAAAAATCGTTCCCTATATCTCTCCACCCTTTAGCAACTTCTCTATATCTTGTTCGGCATTTTGGAGAGTCAGCCCCGCTCATTACCTTTAGTGAGCGAGAAACAAAGAATAGAATTTAGAAATATTTGGAGATACAAAAGTGTTGGAGGGGATTTCCCCCCACCAAAGTCTCTATTTCTATCATTATGGAACTGCTCAGTAGTTTATTAGAGCATGGGTTAGGAATATACCCTATAGTGACTGAGTGATTAGATTATTACCGTACATTCTATCTATCCGAGTTTAAGTCATCAACTTTACACATGTACTCATATTTTTCTGGATCTGTCCTAGGATTTAACGATGTTAGACGTATATGTTGACTTTGTCAAGTTCGAGGTTTATCGGTCGAGCTCAGTATCCCTCTGGTTGTCACATGGATGGGATGTGCATGTATATATTCATAGTGATGACTGTGCATGGAAGTATGTCTGTGAGCATTTACATCTGTACTGAGCATATATAAAAAAAGGAATAATGCGTACTGGGGAAATAATCTCCTTATCTTTCCCATGTCTACTACCAACGGGAGCATTTTCACTTAGATATGTGTCCACATTCTTGCAAATATTATTACCATCAGGAAATAGATCTGTGCATAAAATTAACATGTGCAAAAGGGTGATTTTGTATGTTCAGGAAATAATTCAGAACATCTAATATCGACTTCAACCCAATTGTTTATTACTTGTCTTTACACAGAGTGTCGAAAATCATACTCCACGTGGAGTAGAAATTTAACGCTAATTAACAAAAAAAACTATATTTAAGGACCCCACGTGAGAATGATAAAGAAAAGGGAGCGTAAAAAAAGAGGATGGCTAAGTACATAATTACACAACAACCGGACCTCGAGTGCGCAAGTTGTTTGATGAAGCACTTAACCGATCTTTTTATTTATCTTTACGGCCAGGCTGGATGGATATCTCAAGACTTGGAACAAAAACTCGATTGGTTTGGATTGGTGATGTGGAATGTTGGGGTCGGACCCACAGCATGTTTCACACGAGCTATCTCAAGCATCACTCGGGACGTAAAGATCAAGAGATATGGCCCCTACGACCACGTGATAGAGGTGGACATGAAGCGAGCAGCAGCACAGGTGGCAGGAACGAGACTGAGCATTAATGACAAGCTGCATATAAAAGTGGCGGAGCAGCTCGGGCTACTCGACCAAGAGCAGGAGCAAGAATACAGCAGCTTCAAGGAGAAGAGTGACAAGCTACGCACCACCGGAAATAGTGATTTACGGAGTGTAAAAATATTTGCCGAGTCTATTTTATCGGACACTTGGTAAACAAGCTCTTTGCTGAAAAAAAAAACATACTCAGCAAAATAATGGCACTCGGCGAACAAACTCTTTGCCGAGTGCTGAAAAAAAAACTCGGTAAACTAGAAAAAAACATTCGGCAAAATAGAGACACTTGGCAACAAACCGCCACGTGGACATCCGTCAGTTTGTGTGCCGGCCGTTGGGAGTTTATCGAGTGTCCGTTAGTGGCGTTCGACAAAGAAATAAGTTTGCCGAGTGTGTTTTTTTTCACTCGGCAAAGAAATAATTTTGCCGAAAACACACTCGGCATAAATAATGGCACTAGGCAAACAAACTCTTTGTCGAGTGCTGAAAAAAAAACTCGGCAAACTAGGAAAAACACTCGGCAAAACAGAGACACTCGGTAACAAACCACCACGTGGACATCCGTCAGTTTGTGTGCCGGCCGTTAGGAGTTTGCCGAGTGACCGTTAATGGCACTCGGCAAAGAAATAAGTTTGTCGAGTGTTTTTTTTTCACTCGACAAAGAAATAATTTTGCCGAATGTTTTTTTTTTCACTCGGCAAATAAATAAGTTTGCCGAGTGCCGAGGCCGTTAGACACTCGACAAACACGCCGTGACCGTCTCCGCGTTGGCTTCAGCACTCGGCAACGTCTTTGCCGAGTGTCCGATAAAAAACACTCGGTAAATAAACTTTTGCCTTCACGGTATACACCGTGTGCTGTTTGCACTCGACAAAATATTTGCCGAGTGTGTATCTTGGACACCAGGCAAACATCCTGTTTCCGGTAGTGACGGTACTATGCCTACGACACGACGCAGGCTGGTGCCGCACGATCACTCCCGGAGATGTTACGTGGATCAGCACTTATACAAATAACACAAAAGCTATCAACGAAAAGGTACATGCTAGTGGTTCAGAACCTCGACGAGCCCGTCAACCCCATCAATACTGATGCTTTGACAGAGGGCTTATGGCTTCCTCCTCCTCGTTGGGCATCATCTTTCTGGCTCGTATCCACCACCTCCCAATATGTCTACGACAAGAGCAAGCCATATTATGGCTGTGTCGTCAAATCTTTTACTGGGATGATATACTGATTCTTACACTATACTCCCTGAAACAAGCGGCCAAGTGCGGTTGGCCAGCAGGAGGATGGGCATCGAGTGGCTATCCAGTGCTTTCACTATGCCACCATGCTGCTCGTTCCCCACAGTTCCAATAATGTTGATAATAATCCATCAGATCAGTTTGCTGTCCCGGATGACGTCATTAACTCAGACAAGTTGATCCGCCATAGGGCTTCGCGAGGCATCCTTCCTGTCATCAGAAAGCAAGGCATCCCGGATACTGCTGACAGCAAGTACAACGGCGACGGCGATGACATATATCAAGTTGGGAATGTCATTCTAGAGGCTTTCCGTGAGTATTCGTTGCTGCACCTGCCTTCTTCTCCAGCAAAACAAGGTGATGAAGCCACCAAGACTGCTGCGCACTTCTTAGCATATCATGGCCTCATAGCAGAGCACCTCAAATTGGATGCACTCTGCGAGGATAGTAAGCAACTCGACCTGTTGGAGTGCACACAGTGGATCTCACATGTGGGTGACCAAGGATGGTGTTTAAGCAGAGAGTGGCTGAGACGACAGGGATCCAGCGGCCCAACCGCACTAATTATAGAGCATTGCTCACAGCACTCAAAGCTGTTCATGAAGCTTGAATCCGATCATTTCTTTGCCAAGGTCCCGTGTCTTCGTCTTCTTGATCTCTCCTACACTCCAATAAAATCACTTCCTGCTACCTCCAAGAACTCCAGTACCTTTCCCTTGTTGGATCCAAACGATGCTAGAACGCCGTGGAACGTCGTGCTTGCCGGCGACGTGGTGACTGCGATCACCACTTAACAGATTGAAACTAGAGAAAACGATACACAGAAAATTCGGTATGAATTTACTGCCCAACCACCTCCCCTCATGTCATCTTTATTTGATATATATAGCCATGAGGCTCCCACGCCGTGCCGCATAGGAACGGGACACCGTTTCCTTGCGACCCCCGTTACATGCGCCTAGAACGCCACGGCGTGGCGATTACAGACTCCGACTCAAGCTTGACGTACCCAAGCATGACTTTGGCTACATCTAACTCCAACCACACTAAGACTCCTCTAGCATGACATCCTGACCTGACTAACACGAAATTACATGACTCGATTGCAACGCTTAATGACTAACAAATCACCCCCTAAGCTGTTGCACATCAACGACACCAAGAGCAGTTCGTAGCTCAACAAACTTGACACGACCGAGCGGCTTCGTGAAAATATCTGCCAACTGTCCAGCTGTACCAACATGTTCAACCTCAACCCTGCCTTCCTCAATACACTCACGTATGAAGTGATACCTCGTGTCGATATGTTTACTACGATCATGATGAACCGGATTCCTGCTCAACGCAATTGCTGACATGTTATCCATCAACAACTTCACCGGTGTCTCCTTCATTCCAAGTAGATCAGCCATGAGTCGGCTCAACCAAACGCCTTGACAGGCTGCTGCCGCTGCTGCCACATACTCGGCCTCACACGAGGATAGAGCAACGATTTTTTGTTTCTGAGATGTCCAAGTTACCAGGCTACTGCCGAGAAAGTAGATCACACCAGTGGTGCTCTTCCTATCTTCTGAATCTCCAGCAAAATCACTGTCACTGAAACCTAGCAAGATCGGTTTCAATTCAGCCCCTCTCTCATAGCTGCATCCATAGCCTGTGGTGCCCTTTACATATCTCAACACTCGTTTGACAGCAGCCCAGTGAGCTTTTCCAGGAGCTTCCATGTACCTGCTCACCACCCCAACTGCATAAGCCAGGCCCGGTCTGGTGTTTACCAGGTACCTAAGGCTTCCAATTATACTCCTGTACGCCGTCACATTCATAGCTTCAGATTCTCTTCCCTTTGTGAGTTTGAACCGAGGCTCCATAGGCGTGTCAGATGGATTACAGTGCTCCATACCTGTATACTCAAGTATCCTAACCGCATAAGCTGCTTGGCTCAGTGTTATCCCACCTTTTCCCTGCTTTACTTCAATCCCCAAGTAATAGCTGAGAAGACCGAGATCACTCATGCTGAACTTCAGTTTCATCTCCGCCTTGAATTGATTAATGTCCTCAATCTTTGGCCCCAAGATAATAAGATCATCAACATACACACCCACAATCAGAAGAGAATCCTTGCTACTCCTCTTATACACGGCATTATCAAACTTACTCCTGACAAAACCAAGAGCAGACAGCTCTTTATCGAGCTTGAAATTCCATGCACGTGGTGCTTGCCGTAAGCCATACAGTGCTTTTCTCAATCTCAACACCTTATCTCCCTTGCCAACAATGAAACCCGGAGGCTGCTGTACAAAAACGGTTTCAGAGAGATCTCCATTCAAGAATGCGGACTTGACATCCATATGATGCACCTCCCAACCACCGTGCGCTGCAAGAGCCAACAGTACCCTCACTGTCTCTATTCTGGCAACAGGCGCGAAGACCTCATCAAAATCCACACCATGGCGCTGTGCATAGCCCTTTGCGACCAACCTCACCTTATATTTCACAACATTGCCCTCTGGGTCCTTCTTCACCTTAAACACCCATTTGAGACCAATAGCCTTGTGATTCCTTGGGAGCTCACTGACTTCCCAAGTCCGGTTTGCCTCGATAGCCTTCATCTCGGCCTGCATTGCATCTCTCCAGCAACTCTCTGTCAGAGCCTGCTCCACTGAGTTTGATTCCTCAGCTGCAACGAGACACAAACCACTATACTCTAACTGAAAAGGTACAGTTGAGTCTAGTAAATCCGGTATTGTGCGATACCGGAGTGGTACTCCTTCTGAATCTTCCTCAGCACCAGTGGGTGGCGTAGCCCATTGAATTTGTGTCTGCACACCACTTGCTGAGGTACCTGGAGTGCCAACCATCGATGATGGAGTACCAAGAGATGGAGTTGGTGGAACAGGTGAACCGGGTACCGCAGCTCCAGTAGCATCGCCCGCAGCTCCTGCGTCTGAAACTGCACTGTCTGAATCAGCCGCCCCGCCTATTGTCGGATCGGCAACAGTAACGTCTTCAGGCCAACTGAACACTGCTTCCTCCGATTCTTGTACATCGTCTGCATCTGCATTTGTTCTACTCACCCCCCAAGTCCAGCTCTTCTTCTCATCGAAAATAACATCCCTCGAGATCATGAGTCGTTTCTTCACCGGATCATAGACCCGATAGGCTTTTGAGCACGGTTCATACCCAAGGAAAATACCAGGTACTGTCCTGTCTTCGAGCTTGGTCACACCCGGTCCAACCTTCTTTGCATAGGCCACGCAACCAAAGGTCCTCAGATGTCGCACACTTGGTTTCTTCCCATACCAAGCTTCATAAGGTGTCACATTTTTCAGGCTTTTAGTAGGTGCTCGGTTCAGCAAATACACTGCCACCATCACTGCTTCACCCCAAAAACACCCCGGCACCTGTTTTGATTTGAGCAAACAACGCGCCATCTCCACCACTGACTGATTCCTTCTTTCAACCACGCCGTTTTGCTGTGGTGTATAGGGTGCAGTGGTGTTGTGTTTTATGCCATGAGCATTGCAATAGACTGTAAACACACCTGAATTAAATTCCCCTCCTCGGTCCGTTCTGAACGCCCTCAGCTTCAGACCTGATTCCATTTCTGCTGCCGTTTGTATCTTCTTGAAACTCTCAAACGCCTAATCTTTCGTCTTCAAGAGTTCCACCCACATGTAGCGACTGAAATCATCAACTACTAGCAAGAAGTACAACTTACCACCCGGGGTTGGCGGTGTCACCGGCCCGCAGAGATCTCCATGCACCAGCTCGAGCCCTGTGGTGGCCCGATATGCAGTCGCCTGTGGAAATGGTTTGCGATGATGTTTGCCGAGAGCACAACCATCACAGACTTGTTCACCTCGCTGTATCAACGGAATGCCCTCCACCATCTTCTTTGAGCCTAGGTCACGAAGTGACCTAAAGTTAAGATGCCCGAACCGAGCATGCCACAACCATCCCGCTTCATCCATCTTTGATAGCAAACAGATTGGGGATGTCAGATTTACTGATATGACATACAACCGATTCTTCCTTTCAGCCTTGATCAGTAAGTTCAACTGCCCTTGACTCCGCTCATACACCGTCATCACGCCTCTATCAATTTCAACTCGACATCCAGCCTCCTCCAATTGTCCGAGGCTGACAATATTACATCGGAGTGAGGGTATGTAATATACATCAGTGAGAACACGATGATCTGTATTTTTCCCGGCGATCGTGACCGCCCCGATCCCACAAATCTCCACCTTTGATCCATCCCCAAATCTGACAGCTCCTCTCACTGATTCATCCAAGGATGCCAATGACTCTCGGCACCCTGTCATGTGGTTGGTGGCACCAGTGTCAAGCACCCAGGCTCCTGCATCATAGGTGGATGGAAACACACATACTTGATTTAGAAACACGCTGTTTCCTCCTACCGCGGTGGTGCGTACCACATTGCACACTTGAGCAACCAACAGTGCTCCATTGTCCCCATCATTGTTCACGTGGTGAGCTACCTCCTGCTTATTCCCTTGTGCTTTGCGCCTCGGGCACTCCTTGCGCCAGTGACCATAGACCCCACACTTCCCGCACTTGCCCCTCCTCTTTGGCGTGTTCTGAGAAGAGGGTCCAGAATCCCTCGCCTCACCAGCGCCATCTTTGTTGGAACGCTTCCAGTGCTTCTTGTCATGGGCCTGATGACCACCACCTCCACCCTTGAAACTTGATCCAGATGAATTGGACATCATCCGACTTTTGTTTCACGCAACCCACTCATCTTCCGTCAACAAAAGCTTCCCGGCCTTCTCTGCAACCTGATCTGCAGATGGTTCAAATCTCTCCTCAGCCGCCCTGAGATGTGCCACCAGATCTTCAATGGTGAGAGTCTTGAGGTCTTTTACCATCTCAACAGCCACTGCTACCTGAGAGTACTTTGCTGGCACGACACGGAGAAACTTCTTCACCACCCTTGCATCAGTCACGCTCTCCTCACCGAGACCGCGCAGATCGGTAACCAGCTTGGTTATGCGAAGCGCGAAATCGTCAATTGACTCCCCGGGTTTGAATGCCATCGCCTCAAACTCGCCTAAGAGCTTTTGTGCATTGACTTCCTTTACGCGATCCGCCCCAAGACGCATAGTCTTGATTGCCTCCCAAGCTTCTTTAGCCGTCTTCTTGTTGAGTAACATGGAGTGCATCTCTGTTGGCACGCCCCGGAGCATAGAACCCAATGCCAACCGATCTTGACGTCTCTCCGCATTCTCACCCTTCTCGATGACATCCCAAAGATTCAACCCTTCAAGATTGCACTGAATGTGAGACGCCCAACCCTGATAATTTGATCGGGTTAGCACCGGCCACGTCAAATTTGCGGTCGGAGTGAACGTCTTGTCCATATCAGTCTTGTCGTCGCCCATGGTGATCACACTTCGTTCTACCTAGCCCCTTGCGTCTCGAGATGTACGGCTTGCTTCTTCTTCCTCTGCAACCTCTCGCCTCCACGGAACGTTCCCTCAGGCTTTGATACCACTTGTTGGATCCAAACGATGCTAGAACGCCGTGGAACGTCGTGCTTGCCGGCGACGTGGTGACTGCGATCACCACTTAACAGATTGAAACTAGAGAAAACGATACACAGAAAATTCGATATAAATTTACTGCCCAACAACCTCCCCTCATGTCATCTTTATTTGATATATATAGCCATGAGGCTCCCACGCCGTGCCGCATAGGAACGGGACACCGTTTCCTTGCGACCCCCGTTACATGCGCCTAGAACGCCACGGCGTGGCGATTACAGACTCCGACT